ATATATATATATATATATATATATATATATATATATATATATTTTTTAATAAATTCTTTTTTTAAAGAAGAAAATGTTGTATTCATATAAATTTCAACTTACAATCATAATAGTTTAGGTTAGAAGATGTTTCATTAATAATATTTGTTTCGGTAAATTTCACCATTTTTAAAACTAATTTTTTAACATAGTTATAACAATTTAAAAATAATCATAATAAAAATATCATATATAAAAAAATATTTATAATCGTTTTATATGTTTATACTACTTTAAATTTACATTTATTCAGTTTTTGTATGTACATACATATACCACTATATTTTATTTAACAGAATATATCTGTATATATACAATGTCGATCTGGAATTTTCTTAGTATAATATTATCCTATTACTTATATCTTTTTCTTTTCCTTTACTTATAATTTCTATCTCTTATTTGCTTATTATTATGATAAAATTGTTTAGAAAAATGCAAAAATATATAAATTTTAAATGCAAAAAAAAATATAATAATATAATCAAATTTATTAAAAATTAATAATAAAAACAATTTAGAGGAAAAAAATTCATATCAATCTTAAAATTTTTCACGTTTAATACACATTTAATTTGTTTCACGTAGTAGCGTGACATGTGTTTTGTAGTTCTGAGACTGGAGCGGATTGCGAATAAAGTGACAAACGGTAGACGTTTATAAAATTTGTGTAGCTGTGCATAAAAGCGCATGCAACATTCAAAATATTAAAGAACATTAGATAAAACTGTTTGTAGAACATAAAAATTATTTAACAAATTTGATCGTTTATTCAAAAAATAACATTAATCATTTTTGAAAGGAGGTTATCCTATTTCGTTTTCATCTTCATAAAGCAGTGAAAATTTTTGAAATGGCCGGTGCAATGTTATTCGAACGTGCACAAGCAGTTTCAATGACGAATCGTAGTGAAGGTATTTCACTTTTAAATGAAATTGTCTCCGATCCAAGTATTGGTGTTACGGAAGATGACGAGGATAACATTCGCGTGAAAGAACAAGGTATTTTACATCTCGGTGAACTTTACAAGAAAGAAGGCAAGGCAAAAGAACTGGCGGAATTAATTAAGGCTACCAGACCATTTCTTAGCTTGATTAGCAAAGCAAAAGCTGCTAAACTTGTACGATCCTTAGTAGACTTTTTTTTGGATTTAGAAGCTGGTATTGGCATCGAGGTATTTTCATATATATTTTTTATAATTTTCATATTTAGTTCAGCATCAATTTTTCTTTTATTAACAGGTTCAACTATGCAAAGAATGTATAGAATGGGCAAAAGAAGAACGTAGGACATTTTTAAGGCAATCATTAGAAGCACGTTTAATAGCATTATATTTTGATACTGGTATGTACAGTGAAGCATTACAATTGGGATCAGCTTTACTTAAAGAACTTAAAAAATTGGATGATAAACAACTCTTGGTTGAAGTACAGTTATTAGAAAGTAAAACCTATCATGCATTAAGTAATTTAGCAAAAGCAAGAGCAGCTCTTACCAGTGCTAGAACAACTGCTAATGCAATTTATTGTCCACCTAAAATGCAAGCTGCTTTAGATTTACAGTCAGGAATTTTACATGCTGCCGATGAACGAGATTTTAAAACTGCATATTCTTACTTTTATGAAGCATTTGAAGGGTAATTATTTTTTTCAATAATATATTGTATTTGGAAGCTTTTTGTTTTCATTGTAATTACTATTTTTTTCAGATATGACAGTGTAGAAAGTCCAAAAGCTTTAACAGCTTTAAAATACATGCTACTTTCAAAAATTATGTTACGTACACCTGAAGATGTTCAATCAATTATGTCAGGAAAATTAGCTGTTAAGTATGCAGGAAAGGATTTAGATGCAATGCGAGCAGTTGCCGAAGCTAGCCACCGACGATCATTGGCAGATTTTCAAACTGCTGTGAAAAAATATCGCGAAGAACTAGAAGATGATGTAATTGTACGTGCTCACCTCGGTTCCCTTTACGATGCAATGCTTGAACAAAATTTATGCCGTTTGGTTGAACCTTATTCACGTGTACAGGTATAATAATTTGCTTTATAATGTTATAGATTGATTATTTAAAATTCGTTTTTTATTCTATTTTTTCGTGTAGGTCAGTCATATTGCGACCTGTATATCACTGCCACTTACACAAGTGGAGAAGAAGCTTTCACAAATGATATTGGATAAAAAATTAAGGGGTGTTCTTGATCAGGGTGAAGGTGTTTTAATTGTTTTTGAAGACACTCCTCGCGATAAAACTTACGAGATTGCATTAGATACTATACATAGCATGGGGAAAGTCGTTGATACACTTTATCAAAAAGCAAAGAAACTTACTTAGCCTTATTTAATATATGTTTCTAAACAGCAACAGCAGTTGTAATTATTATCATCAACTATCATTTCGTGTCATTGAAAATCAAATTAATTTTTGTTTTCCAATATGTCCGTTTATTGTGTAATATAAATTTTGCCCCTATCTTAGCATTACACTTGGTACTGATTCTTATTAAGTCAAAAATGTAAAATTTTGAACTAATAGTTCAAATGAAAATATCATTTCTTACGCGTATGCGTAAAAATACATTAACAATAATTACACCATAGATACACAAATCGTGGTGAATAATCATGTATATCAGATTTCTTTTATTAATTTAAAAGAATGATTTTTGATGTGCAAAATATGAACACAATGAATAATCCATTTTTTTATCAATTTACTTAATTTTATCCGAAATATCAAAAAATATATTCATTCATAAAATTGTATGTTGTTTGATTTAAAAGAATTACATTTTTTAAAATATATCTATGAAATTACGTATTCAATTACGTATTATCCTTTTTCCCCTTCTATTTTTTATTTCTATATTTCATATTATTATATATTATATTTGATTATTGATTTTATTTTTGATATAACTAAAATTGAAACCTTATTATTTTGAACAAATATTCTATGCCTATCAATTAAAGATATTAAAGAATCATATTCTTTTAATTGTATATTCATCTAGATTATAATAAAAACAATTTAATTAGAATTAAAAAGAATTTATAAGAAAGTAAAAGAATGAAAATATTGTCATTCTATTATATATCTTTCAATCCTAGCATGCATATTATCATAATTTTATTAGTTTTATAGCATTTCGAATTTAAACAGAAAATAATTTTAAACAACATTTCAAATTCTGAAAAGAATATCATAATTATTAACAATATAGATTCTGATTTGATGGCGTAGTAAGAATATTCACCACTACTTCCTGTTTGAAGTTGTACGTTACAACAAAGGGACAGTGTGGTTATATTTTATAAACTTTTTTTTTTCATGGAGTGTATAATGGCGGATACTACAGCACAGAAGGTAAAATATTTTATATTATAGTTTAAATTACAGAGAACAAGGATCAAATTAAGCAATCTATAAAATACATTTGGTATATTACAAGTAAGAACGCTTAGGTTAATGTAACGTTTAACTCACCGGCATCATTATGTTCAAAATAATATCTTTTATTTTGTCCTTAATATTTTTTAAAAAATGTGCACTTCTTCAATATTTAAATATATTAATTCTTTCATTTTTTTTACATTTTTAGTAATTGGCCTTGATCACTTACATTATCTCATTGCTTACGCAAAACTATACCTGTATTATTATATCGACAATAGAATTCTCGATTTTCTTATGTGATTTTTTATGTTCGTTTAATGTTCTAATTAATACACTAATTTTTAAAATAATTTAAAAAAATTTGTTTAAAATATTTTATTTTTGAGATAAATATATAAATTTGCAAATGAAATACTTATAATTTCATTATATTTAAAATATATGTATGTATTTTTATATATAATTAAAGTAAAATACCAACTTTCAATTGAATATGACCATCATCCTTAATGTATTTACCTTTCAAGTTTATCTTGCAGGTTCAAGAATACAAGGATTCCTTAAAAACAAAGGTAAGAAAATGCTATTATCTTTATTCATGTAATTATAAGTGATCCATTTTTGTTTCAAAGTACATTATAAACATACATTTCATTTAGGCTGAACAACTATTATTAAAAGGATTTCCAGAAAAGATTGTTAAATTGAATGAATTATTGGAAACCCCTGGCTTTTGCAATAGAAAATTATCAGATGTTCATCAAGATTTAAATGTACCCATTCCAGATCCTATTATTCTTAATCATTCCGAAAATGATTCTACTACAAAAAAACGAAAAGTAGATAATAGTATAGATGATACCAGTGGAACCAAAGTGATGGTTTTACCAAATGGACCTGTACCTTGTAACAAGCCCTTGTGTGATCTTATTCACATAGTCAAACCTTATATTCGACAATTATTGGAAGATTCTAATTTGGTATATATTCTATGATGCAAATTATGCAAATTTTAATATTTATACTAGTTAAATGAAATTTTGAATTTCCAGTTGAAAATGTGGATTTCATTTTTGATTCCAAAAATTGAAGATGGTAATAATTTTGGTGTGTCAGTACAAGAAGATACACTTGCTGAAATACAGTCAGTTGAAAGTGAAGCTGCTGCATTTTTTGATCAAATATCTAGGTAATATGAATTGTAATAATATTGAAATTTCCTATTTCAATGAAATAGTCAACAAAGTTTTCTATTTCAATGAAAGTCACACAAAGGTATTTTGTTAGGTATTTTATCTCTAGAGGAAAGATTGTTAGTAAAGTTGCGAAATATCCACACATCAGCGATTATAGAAGAGCAGTTCAAGAATTAGATGAAAAAGAATATGTAAGCTTATGGCTAGTTATGTGCGAGGTCCGTAATCGTTATTGTTCTTTGCACGATTTGGTAATCAAGAACTTGGAGAAGATAAAAAAACCTCGCTCTTCCAATGCGCAATCTTTGTATTAAATGCTATATATGCTATTTCTATTGAATAATGTACAGGATTGTAATGGAAAAAAGAAACAAAAAGAAAAAAAATCTGCACGCCGGAGAGAGTGTTATTCTTGATTTTTCAATAGAAAATTCAAATTATTTTTTTTTTATTCAATCGCCGTGACGTTGACTCAGTCATTCACTTGAGCCATATCCAAAGCAATCTAAATCGGCATTATAAGTTACAATGATAATGATTCTGCACACTTTAGCAAAAAATATATATATGAAAGGAAAATACATTGAGTATCATTTAAGCAAATTGAATTATAATTGCATTTTCCACTAACAAAAAGTTGAAATAATTTTGAATCTTAACTGTTTAATTATTACAAAATTTCTCATAATTTCAATTTTCCTATTTCCTTCCTCTAATAATGTGGATTTCTACTATCAATTTTC